GAAGAATTCATTATATACAGAGAGTAGAAGACAATAAATAAAGTTAAGTAATATACTATACTATATATATAGAAGAGATATATATATATATATATATATATATATATATATATATATATAATGCACTTAATCCTCTTTCTAACTTCCCACGGTAATGGGAAGCACGTGGAGGCATGTGGGCCGAAGACGCCACTGCAAGAAAAAAGAAGCCATACGCACATTACCATCCACAACAAAAACAATAATTGCATTCACAAATAAAATAAAATAAATAAATAAAAGTGTTCAATAATTGTCATCGGCCTTCAGATAAGGGTCACAAAACCATGCACCAAACATAATACCGATAAAGTAGAATATAATCCACTGTTACCAAATTAAACAGTATGACCATCCTCCTCCATTGCACTAGGGGAAGTAAGAAGACCACCATAAGGGTCAAGAATGAACTCCACATTAGAAGCACGGTTAGACGAATCACCGAGATACTTATCGACATAAAACATATGAGCGCAATTCATTTGAACAACACTCATATTTTCCAATCGAGATGTCAAGGACAAGATCTCCTCCTTAAAGCAACTTTCTCTCCTCCTCACCGGAAGCTTTAAACCAACGCTCATGTAGAACCTGTGAAGATAATCCATTGTTCTCGGTCCTAAGATTTTCATAAAGCACAGTGGCCTCCTGAAGTTTTCCTCAGTAGTAGGTCCAAATCTTATATGATTAGGTAGTTGTGGGCATTCCTAATGACATATTGCTCTGCCTCCTTTTTGGTAAAGCATGAAAGCCCCTCAAATGTTCGGCCACGCATAGTGACCTAAGCTTTAAACATCCGACACTTAGGAGTTCCATTTTGAGATACTAGATAAGGAGGAAGTTAGTTATCGTTTCCCCTTGAGTTAAGTTCTCATTTTTAAAGGATACGTTCTCAAGTTCGAGAGCCCTCGGAATAAGAGCCCTAGGATGTCTTTGGTGTATGCAGTTTGCAGGTGACCCACTTTTCATAACGGTGACCTACAAGCAGTTAAAAATAAATATAGATGGAGAATTATAAATTAACCCTGAGATGCATGTCGTAAAAGTATACATCACAGGGCTAAACAAGTGCATAGTTGTGTTCACATCAATATCTATACAATTTAACAGATTATTTTAGAAGGCCAAAACAAATTATACATAAAATCATTCAATAAAAAAGAAATTAATTAAAATTCAAGCAAATTAAAAAATAACACAAAAAACATAAGCTCATAATAAAAACAATTCGCATCCATCAAACATAAGCTAAAATTAGAGCAAATTGAAAAAGAATACAAAAAACATAAGTTCATAATTGAAACAATTCACAACCATCAAACATAAGCTGACACATCAAACAACAATGTAAATTTATAACTCACTTTAAACAAATTCATCAATACTCGGTCAAAGAGCAAATAGAGAAAGTAAATTTCAAGTCACAAGACCCGTAAATAACAACTAAAGGTCTGTGAGAAAACAGTTATTAGTTTGAAGGTCTTAAGGACACAATCCAAAGACAATTTGTATACATATAAATAACTTTTTTAGATAGCAGAGTCCGCAGAGTATTAGGCAGTTGTGTCTTAGACACAACTGCGTAATACTTGTAAACTGAGGAGCAGAGCTCCTCAAGGGAATCCTCAAACACCTTAGCATTGCAGGAGAGCATCATCATCTCTTCCTCATTCTTTCCAACCCTCATTTTGAAAGCATCAAGGCTCAAACTAAGAGCATCAATGCTCACTCATAAAGCGATCACACATCACTATAAACAATTTAGTCTTCACCATGAGATCCTTAGCCATGGTATACCATGAGGAATTTTCTCCCTGTGGTGTGTTTCCATGCTCTAACATTCAACATTAAACCAACGGAGTGACAAACCAACAAAATGGCAAACCATTAAAGCAATAGTTCATACTTTATAATTCATCATTACATATTATATATTTCAAACTAGCAAAATGATAACTATATAATCCATATTCCATAGTAATGCTTATTTTCTTTATTTTATTGTCCTTAGACTTTAGGTAATGTAAAAGAGACATTAAAGAAAACAATAGCATTTTATTTTACAAAAGTTACATAGAATCAACCTAGGCGGAGAAAGAAGCACATAATATTCTACTTATTTATTAATACATGCATATCCCTATAGAATCAATCAACCTAGAAGGACAAACAATTAAAATATAATATTATCATAAGCATATCCATCAGATACACTTCCCCATTAATATGTAATTATATTCTCTATAATCTAGAGTTCCAGATTACTGTTTTATTTTGCTTATTCTTTTTATTTCAACACTTTATTGTAATAGAAAGACATAATGAATCCATCCATAGCATAAGAAGTTAAGAATAATAGTATTTTACTATATAATAAAGACACTGAACTATTTTAAAATCATATAAACCTAGAAGGAGAAGCCAATGCATTATGCATTTCCATTATAGACACCCCAACTTTAACACATGGTTAAATAGATAGACATTAAAGACAATTAGGTATATTTATTTTAAAATAAAGACCTACATACTATGAATAATAATAATTTACTTTAAAATAGAGACAGTCAAGCATTAAAGAATCAAACTAGAAAAAGCACAGTTATATTATGCATATCCATTAGAGATAGTTAGGTATATTTCTTCTTTATTTTTATTATTTTAATAATTACAATAATGAAGTAGAAACAAAAAGGAAGCAACTCAAAAGCAAAAGAACAATGATATTTTACAATTGCATAGGAGTGACTTTTATGCAATCGAACATTCGAATATTTCTGCATTCCAACACTTTCTATAATCCAGAACTGTGGTTTTAATCTCTTTTATTTGTATTTTATGTGAACTCTTTAGTGCACTGAACATTTTGTTATTGATGTTCAGGGCTAAGAGCCTTCAAAAGAGAAGCCATTATTCAAAATGTATAGTACACATCACATATCTGAATGTAAACCTTATATAAAAGAGCAGCTATGTTTTCGAAATGGCGCAATGTAAATGATTGAAAGTTGGACATCTATAAGATATAAAGAGTCCCTCTAATTTGTGCCTTTCTAATGACGAGAACTTAGACAATTGTGTTCGAGTAATTTCCTTCAACAACATGATCATTGCCAAACTGATAAAATGTACAATACATCAACGAAAATCTCAAAAAATAAAACAGTCCCGTGTATGTATGAACCAAGCATGAAAAGCAGTTGTAGTTACAAATCTCAAAAATCTCCAAATTTTAATTCTTAAAAACGAAATTGAAACGTAAATTTATTTTGCATCAGCAAATTCAAATCAAAAGACGAAGCATTGGATTTACATTAGCAGAAACATCATTGTAGTGGGCAAAAATGGAATGAAAAATGATGAATCCGTAATAACACATGAATCTTGAAAAAATAAAGAAGATAAATAGTTAAAGATAAACTAAATTGACAGCAACAAAAAGTAAAAAAAAGAAAAAAAAGCAAATAAAAAAGTCATTCACAAAATGATTTTCCATGAACGTAAAAAAAAAAAAAGTAAGACCAAGCATATGTATTTAGTTCAACGATATAATGAGTGAAAAATCTGAAACACCATGAGTAAATGATTGATACGAAATAGAGCTCATTCAAATCATGCTTGATCATACATGCATGAAGCATAGGACGTAGTAAATCATGCTTGATCATACATGAAACATATGATGAAGGAAATCATGCTTGATCATACATGCATGAAACATAGGATGAAGCAAATCATGCTTGATCATACATGCATGAAGCATAGGATGAAGAAAATCAAGTGCAAGAAGGTAGAATGTGCAAAGAAATGCTAAAATGATGATGGTTTGTGGTTGTGAGGAGAGAGAGAGACTTGTTAAGATAAAGATGGTGAACGTGGTGCATTTGATGAGATGGTGGGGCGGTTTTATGAGGTGATAATTAGAATACTGACAGGTTAAGTAGGGGACACGTAGAGATGGAGGATTTAGAGAGAGAAAGAGAGAGAGAGGGGAGGGTTGAGAGAGAGAGAGATGGAGAGGATTTAGAGAGAGAACAAGGTTTAGACAGATAGGATCGTGCACAGAGATTTGGGCATGACCGTGTAAGAAATTATGTGAGATAGAGTATCTAAATAGGCTTTAGAGAGAGAGAGGGGAGGGTTTAAAGAAAGAGGGGAAGGGTGGAGACATGACAGAGAGGGGGCAAGGTTGAGACATGAGAGAGAAGGGAGGGTTGAGATATGAGAGAAAGAGATGGTAGGGTTGAGACTTTAGTGCGCGAGAGAGGGGAGGGTATAGAGAGAGAGAGATAGGGAGATGGCTGAGAGAGAGGATCTTGCATCGAGATTTCGACGTGAGAGTTTACGTAAGAATGTTTATAGTGCAAAATTAGAGAGATCTTCAGAGGAAGATCCCTCAGATCTGAACACCACAAATTGATTTTAAAAGAAGGTGATAGAGAATATGGGGAAAATCGAATTTTGATCTGAAGCCAGATTCACCGAGAAACGAGCATATATGTTCTCAGATTAGTGGCAGCGCCAACATTGATCCGAATATGAAACACAAAATAAAAAGCAATAAAAACTAATATAATCTAATTAAAATGAAATAAAAGTAGAAAATAAATAATAAAATTGTAAGAAACGATACCAAACCGGACCAGATTGCCCAGGACTCTCGAGCCTTATGGGGCTTGCCCGTATCAAAACCAGTCCTCTTTTGTCTCTCTTAGTCGGATGTTCACCAGAAAGTCTCTAGTTGAAGAAGGGCGGTTGTGCCCTATGGGTAGATCTAGGGTGGTTATGCCCTAGGTCTAGGTTTTCTCAGACTTAGGTTTTCTCTCAGGAGGCTCGAGTTTCTGAAGCAGTTTCTAGGATTTTCTCTTCTCTCGTGTAACTCTCTCTGGTTTTTTTTGTTTTCTCTGATCTGTTCTCTTCCCTAGGGTTTTGATCTCTCAGATTTTTTAGCTCTATCTGCTCTCCCCTAGGATTTGGTCTCTCTCCCCCCTCTAAATGACCACGAAAAGAGGGTTTACAGGGGGTCAAAATCTGCAGGAGAGGGTATACTCACATAACGATCACGTATTTATCCAAAAAAATAGGTTTACTAAATTAAATGTGATCATAAGAGTTCAGAAAACCATGAAATTTGCCACATTTAAAATGGGGTGTCAACAAAGAAAGAGGGACAAGAGAGAGAGGATAGGGTTTAGAGAGAGAGAGACATAGGGGAGGACTAAGAGAGAGAGAGAGATGATCATGCAAAAAATATTATGGTTGATGGTAGTGAGATAAGTTGGAGTGCCTACATTTAGGTGATGGGGGGTATGTGATGGGGTGAGATAGGTTTGAGTGCTGGAAGATGGGGTTAAGATAGGTTTGCATTCCTAGGTGATGGGGTTAATAGGGTGGCTAATAGGCAAGGGGCACATATACAGAGAGAGAGAGGGGGGGAGGCCTTAGAGAGAGAAAGAAGGAGATAGAAGGCACATAGAGAGAGAGAGGGGAGACGGACTTACCTTGGTGTGATAGTATTTATATATAGGGTTGGCTTAGGTAATTAAAATACTAGATTGTAGGGGGACATATAATGATGTTAATTAAATGAAAAGGGATATTACATATCTTTATTAGATGTCACTTAATGCTATGATTGAGGGAGTTCTACATGTAACATGGGTTCATGTGAAATATACTGTCGGGTCATACAATAGATAATGAGAAAGAGGTAGCATCCGACCTGAGACCTAATCCAAGACCCGTCGGGAAATACCCGAACGTTGTTTGGGTTCGGTTGGACCCGACCCCGTACACGTAAATAGTTGGAGATAAAATACTTCAAGCTGATAGTGAGGGTGCTAATGGACCTGACTAGACCCAGGACCAACAAGTGTAGGTTGAGTAGCATGGGCCTGGTCATTATTCAATTGTACGAACCAGCTATGGCTAGGGTTCAAGAAGAATTCTTCTATCATTATCCCTCATTCTTCTGTACCTGGCTAGGGTTCAAGCAAAATGGAACCTAGAGCTGGGATTTTACTATGGAACAATGTTTGTTAGAATTGCTTCGCTTTATCCGAGGTTGAAGCCTACGGATTTTAAGCCTAGACCGAAGCGAAGCAAAGCCTAGTGTTGTTGCCTTGCTTCGGTCAGATAAAGGTCCCACTACCCAACCCAGTTTGGTTAGGGTATGAGTCCAAGAACTTAGGATTTTGAACTAGTGGGTCGAGTCCAAGTCTAAATTTATAAAGGCTAGCATAATAATATATGAGACTATATACAATGAAACCATTTACCCTTGATACAACGTGGTCACGATTACATACACCGTTTACCTTATAGCGATATTGAATTAGGGTTGGCTATATGAATTATCTTCCTCAATTCTTCTGTACCTGGGATAGAAGAATTGAGCAAAATTTAACTACTTCTATCATTATCCCTTTGGGATCATTATTGTCGAAGACTGATCCCAATTAATTGGGGTTGGCTACATGAATTATGTTCATTTATTATTTTCTACCTAAGCTATATTGCTTTATAATATAAGTCAGCAAATGCCATTTTCACGATTTTAGGCCTAGACCAAAGCAAATCGAAGCATAATGCTGCTGCTTGGGTTAAATTCACGTTTCCCAAATAATGTATCGTCATCATATTTGTCCAAGATTTATCTCAATTAATTAGGGTTGATTATATGGATTCACCATTATCATCATCATTTTAGCCTTTTTCAAATTAATTGGGGTCGGCAACATGAATCATTAATCTCCATTCTGCTCTATTAAAGGCTCTATCTTTAATGAGGCCAAATGTCCTCATATATTTTTGAACTACTTCCAGTCATGTCCTTTTGTGTCTACCCCTTACACTTTTCAATTCTTCTACTTGAACTAACTTGCACCTCCTAATATGTGCAGTACTTGGTCGGCGGCACACATGGCCAACCCACCTAAGTCTACTCTCCTTCATTTTATCGCCTATTGGTGCTACGCCTAAGTTCTCTCGAATAAATTCATTTCAAATTCTATCATTTCTTGTCTTGCCACTCATCCATCTTAATATCCTCATATCTGCTACACTCATTAGACGTGTATATTGTTTTGGGATTATATACAATGAGACTACTTACCTTTGGTACATGGAGGTCACAATTACTTAAATGTTACAACGATCTGATGTGATAACTGATAGCTTGGGTGTGTCACAAAGTTCGAAAAAATTTCTTTTGAACTTTGAGCTTGGTTAATGAAATAAATGCAGCAATCCAATTTCACATCCAATGATCAAGATTAATTGTGACCACCTTGTATCAAAAGTAAATGGTTTAATTCTATAGTTTTTCTAATGTTTTTTGTCTGCCCAACAGTCCACCCCATAGAGCGTTGACTATATGGATTATGTTCATTAATTATTCTTAACCTGGGGCCATAGCTCTCTGTAAGACTAATAGACATCATATCTTTTCTCACTACTTCTATCATTATCCTATTACAGTCATTGTTGTCCAAGACTAGTCCTACTTAATTGGGGCCAGCTATATGAATTAAGTTAATGCATTATTACTCTATATAGGACATTATTAGAAAATGAGCCCGAGCTTAACAAAACAAGTATAACAAAATTGGAAAAAATTTCAAGCATTCTTGACAAATTATAAACTATAGACTTAGCATAATATTTTTTTAAGGGTGCTGTTTGTATAGAGGCTCTATATAATTTTTTTCCATTTTCTAAATAATGAGTATGCTAAATAAAATAGACTACCTAGAAAAGCTAAGCTTTCTTTTGGATGTCTATGCCCATCCTAATTCCGAGCCTACGGCATGTTACTTAGTAAATTATTATATATTAGAACTTAACATAAAACTATTTATGTTCCCTCAGGTATATTTTATTATGGTTTGAAAATATATATATAATTTTCAAAAAGTAAAAATTTAAATTTTATAACTAAAAGTATTCATTTGTGATTAAATATGAATTTCTCCATGTTAAATCTAAAAAATGCTTATCAGTTGTGATAGCGTAATAGTATAGTATTCTCCCATAAGAGCATGTTATACAAATTTCAAAACCAAAAGAGGGCATTTATTGCCGATGTGGCAAAAGCAAGTATACTCGAATATTTTTTTAATATGACCAACATCTTTAAAGATAGAAAATTGAGCCATTGTGTACCTAGTCTTCTATATATAAAACATGACCTTATTAAAAGTGTCAATCAAGAAATTGTTTCCAAGGTTAGAAGGGTGATTCAGATAAGTATGTATATTTATCATGTACATGTGTCATACGGTAAAGTTTCAAGATGACATAGTAGGTGTAGCTACTCGCACAAATATATTTGTGTTCCATTGAGTATATTCTATTTATATTGAAAAATACATATATAATTTTCAAAAAATAAAAATTACATTTTTTAAACTAAAAATAAAAATTTCATTTTTCAAACAAACATATCCCTAGATATCCTATAATATTTTACGCCAAAATTACATCTCATGATAAATTTTGATGTTACACCTTACTTTGGTTGTTTAAGGTTGCAACCTTATGTAAACCACACTCTTAATAAAAACTAAAAGAATTGAAATCACATGCGGAGCACGTGGATTCTGCTAGTATAAAATAAGAGATTGTATACAATGAGATTATTTACTTTTGATACAAGGTGGACACAATTCCTTACAACCATTTGATGTAAAATTTTATAGCTTAGATGTGTCACGAAGTTCGAGAATATTTCTTTTGAAGTTTGAGCTTGGTCAACGTAATAATTACAACCACTCAACTTCACATCCAATGGTCAATATTATTGTCACCACCTTGTATCAAAGGTAAATGATCTCATTCTATACTTTCCCATAAAATAATACATGAAGTTCCTATAAGGCATAGCCTTTATGGGAACAAAAACATATAAATATGTTATATTTATAAGGCCTCGGCTTTACGGCAACAAAATCACATGAGGTTATTAATTTATTGTTTTACATACGTTTTAATCTTCTATTCTTCTATATATAAAACTTGAGGAGGTTTGTGGCCACATGTTAAGCAAGAAATTTATCTTAGGATTGGACTTTGGTTAGGTTGACCAATAAAGGATACCAAACTAGGTTCGGATGCACCATATCTCTACATACACTACGTGGCCTTCAAGAAAAAGGTTTGGATAGAAATCACGTGGCCTTCAAGAAAAAAGTTTGGATAGAAGTTGGTGAAATTAAAAATAACAACTACACTTAAACTAGGAAAGTAGCACAAGATAGTCTTAAAAAAAAGCCCAAAACCATTAATAACCACATTAAAAATCAAGAGAACTTGTGATCCATCTGGTGTATATTGGCTCAGACAAATATTATATTTTATATATTTAAAAAAAATATTATATTTTATATATTTTATAATAATAAAATGTCACTTTATTTCTTAATATATATATNTATGTATATATATATATATATAGTATAGTATATATAGTATTAACTATAACGTTACTAGTAACGTTAACGTTAACTAACGTTAA